TACGGACTAGATCTTGCCTTTTAATCCTCATAGAGAACTGTACTTCCTTATGGGTTGATCTGCCAAAAACAGTCTGAAGATAGATTTTTGAAGCCTTTCTGCAGCGATGGGAAAATAATTAACCCCAGGATTCAGTACATTGGAACACTTAAAATATTTAGCATGTTACGAAATGGCCCCAAAGGAGATAAGTGCCAAGTTAGGTGTAGGTGTCTCCCCTTTGGCTTCTGCTCTGGCCAGGCCCTGGGTGTGGTGTCCTCCCTTATCCGCATCATAAAAACCGGAGGCCTTGGTCCCCCACGGTTAGCCAAGGTTCCCAGGGCAAGAGTTGCCTCTGTAGCCCATTTATTGCTTGCAATTCAAGCTCTCTGGACCGGAGTGTCCTTACTTGATGGCAGCAGGGCGTTGACAAAGATGTTGTTTGTTAGATCTAACATTTTTAGTTATTTTAAGTGACTTCCGTGCCATGGAATAACTTTAAGTGGTTTAGGAGAAGAGATCTCATCAGAGCTAAAGGGCTGATCCTCTAGGGTGAAAAAGGCAGAGGTCAAGGTTAGGTACTGATGTTCAGAAATTCCTGCGGGAGTCCGTGCCGGTGAGGGGTACAGCAGGAACTGAGCACGGGGGCTACGGTGGGCCTGGGGGTGCAGGGGAGAGCAGGACTCTCATTCCTGGCTGGACCACTTGATGGCCGATGGCACTGGCTAGAGAGGGGCAGCTCAGGGAGATGATGCAGGAGGAGAGCAAGGTCGTCTTGAGTTAAGACCAAATGTCAAGGAAAGGGAGGGCGGTGGATTCTAGCTCCAAGCCAGATGTCCATCTGGAGTCCTGGGCACACGGTTGTGCTTGTCTGTGCTGGGCTGGAGCTTTTCCAGAAGGGAAGGGAAGAGAAGGGTGAGCAAGAGGCTGTTGGCTCCCTGCCAGTGGGTGAGCCCAAAGTCTCACTGGGCAGGACACCTTCTCGGGAGGAAGGAGACTCTTCTTCCTCAGAGAGAGAGTAAGGTGGGTGCCACTGTGGTGGGATCATTCCATGGAGGGAAGTTGGCTGAGGCAGGCAAATTAGTAGGAGAGGAAGTTTCTCTGCTTCCTCCGGTGGGGAAAGAGTCCCCACATCCCACGTCTGTGGCTTCTTCTTCCCTCTCCTTCTTCGTCTGGGGCTGGATTGCCATTGGCTCAGGGCAAGGAGGTGCTTTGGCCAGTCCAGTGGTTAAAGCAGGAATTTAATAATGGGGCGGATGGACCTTTTGATGGACCTTCCTTTTAAAAACATGAATGTGAAATTATGAATAAAACATCAGGTCCGGGACCTTGGAAGGGTCAGTGGCCGGCGAAGCTCAAGCTGCCTTAGCTTTCTCGTGAATCTGTCTCCATGGCAGTTGCTTGAGCGGTGGTCTGGGGCCGAGCCCGAGAGAGTGGTGGGTTTCTCTGTTGAAACACAAATGTGTCTCCTCTTGGAGCTGTTGGAGAGGACGGTGAAGGTGTGAGACTACTGGGTACTGAACAAATAAAAAGGGAACCACCATGTATTTCTATGACCGACAAGTTAACAAAACTATGAGTAATTGTAGGAAATCTTTTGTTAGTGGATACTCTGGGTCTTTTGGTGGAAAGTAAAAATGTCAGAGCTGGGTAGAAAGGATAGAAGCCATTTGACAAGAAGGACTGGAGGAAAATTTGAGTTGTCCAGTGGAGGTGAGCCTGTAGCGATGAAACTCTCCCTGTGTGATGAAATTACCTCTTGCTCAGTAGAGAATGATGATCTTAAACACAAAATCATCATACTGGCAGATATGAGCCCAGAGTGTGAGAGTTGCTTTTGTAAAGTTTTCCAGTACTTCTTTGTTCATGGTGAACATTTTAGGATGTGAGGAGGTAGGAAAAGGCCTTGGGGGAAGGGAGGAATGAAAAGAATATAGTGTATAATCGGGAAACCCAATAGTCTCTTAAAATCAGGCATTGCATTTTCTCCCTCACCATATTGTGAGTCACGGGAGATGATCTGCTGTCACAGACCGTATGGGAGGATTCTAGAGGATGAATCAGTAGGAAGAAAGTAGAAGACAAGATAGCTCTGCCCTAGTGAGGATTCTTTTTTTAAATTTTTTTGTTTAAATTCAATTAACATATAGTGTATTATTAGTTTCAGAGGTGTAGAGATCAGTGAGTCATCAGTCTTACTAATACCCAGTGCTCATTACATCACGTGCCCTCCTTAATATCCCATCACCTGTTACCCCCCAGCCCCTCACACACCTCCCCTCCAGCAACCTTCAGTTTGTTTCCTTTGGGGTGCCTGGGTGGCTCAGTCGGTTAAGCGTCTGCCTTCGACTCAGGTCATGATCCCGGGGTCCTGGGATCAAGTCCCGCATTGGGCTCCCTGCTCAGCGGGGAGCCTGCTTCTCCCTCTCCCTCTGCCTGCCGCTCTGCCTACTTTTGCGCACACGCTCTCTCAAATAAAATCTTAAAAAAAAAAGTCTTATGGTTTGTCTCCCTCTGATTTCATCTTGTTTTATTTTTTTCCTCCCTTCCCCTATGATCCTCTGTTTTGTTTCTTAAATTCCACATGAGTGGAATCATATTAATTGTCTTTCTCTGATTGATTTATTTCACTTAGCATAATACCTTCTAGTTCCATCCACATCTTTGTAAATGGCAAGATTTCAGTTTTTGCTGGCTGTGTAATATTCCACTGTATATACACCATATCTTTATCCATTCATCTGTCGATGGACATCTGGGCTTTTTCCGTAGTTTGGCTATTGTGGACATTGCTGCTCCTAGTGAGGATTCTAATCCCATGTGTGTACACATGGTGGATGAACGGTGATAGTGTAAAAACGTGGACAAATATAAATGACCAGATCATGGGATAAGGGAAATTCATGAGCACCGTGGGAATGCAGAATCCAGCAGTGTGAAGAGCTGGGTGGAGTTTGGGGATTAGAATGGGTTTCCGCAACAGATAAGCCCAAGTAAAGTCTTACAAAAAGCCATGGGCAGAGTGGGCAGAGTTCCAGGGGCCCCAGCATGCTTCCAGAGAGATACATACCATGTGCTGGCCTGGGCCCGAAGGATCCTTGGGAGAAATGCCTGGTGAGGAGGTATTGAGCAGTTTGGATGGGTGAGACCCTACACACCAGCATGTTCTGTTTGATGGCTTGGACTCCACATAAATAGGAGGGGAACCTCTTTTTTGGGGAGGGAGTACATATTCCACACAGCTGGCCTAAAATACAAACCTCTCGTTTGTTCTTTGCCATACAGCTTATTTTTCTATTTTATGTGAGAATGTAGCCGTGCGTCTTGCATTGACAGGCTCTGCTTAGAGTCATTTTGGATTACACAGGACCTGTTTTTGCATGGACCACCCTGAACGTTATGTGCAAGATCTATCAAAGACACAGATTTCTTTAATATATAAATATTTTGAGTGTTCTTCCCTCCCCTAAGGCAACAGAGAAAATAAGCGTCTACTATCCACATCGAAACTGACTTTCTAAATGCTATTGTCTGGAATCATAGTATACATGCATCAGCTGAATAGGAAACTTATTTCAGGGGGAGTCATTTTGAATATTAAGATTCTTAAAAATCTGGACTTAGTGAATATAAGTTCAGTGGATGTATATGCTCCTATATATATGTATGTATATATATTATATATTAGAAAGTAGGCTTTCTTCCTACTGGATATGTATGTGCATATATCCTTTGTTCCAAAGATATAAAAACAAAAGCATAAAAACACTACTTAAGAATATTTTATATTGATGCATGAAAGCTTGTGAAAGACCAATGTTATCTTTACATAGATTTTAGAGGTTCAAATTTTCAAATGTATATCTTTATGAAGTTCATGAAATCAAAGCTTCTACATTTTATTTTATTTAAGATTTTATTTATTTATTTGCCAGAGAGAGAGAGCAAGCAGGGGGAACGGCAGGTAGAGAGAGAAGCAGGCTCCCCGCCGAGCAAGGAGCCCAATGCGGGACTCGATCCCAGGACCCTGGGATCATGACCTGAGCCGAAGGCAGATGCTTAGCTGACTGAGCCACCCAGGCGTCCCAAAGCTTCTGCATATTAACTGGTATTTTCTGTGGGCAGAACCTGAGGTTTAGACCGCTATCATCTTGAGGGTGGTGTTGACAAGTTCTGTAGGGTGAAGAATCCGCCACGAAGAGCTACTTTGTTCTTGTATTCCATTGAGAAAGAAGAATCTTTTAACTTTTGTTGTGCTTTAAAGTAATTCTTGGGGCGCCTGGGTGGTTCAGTCGTTAAGCGTCTGCCTTCGGCTCAGGTCATGGTCCCAGGGTCCTGGGATCGAGCCCTGCATCGGGCTCCCTGCTCAGCGGGAAGCCTGCTTCTCCCTCTCCCACTCCCCCTGCTTGTATTCCCTCTCTTGCTGTGTCTCTCTCTGTCAAATAAATTTTTAAAAAATCGTTAATAAATAAATAAATAAATAATTCTTTTTCCCCCCTCCAGCTTGATAAAAGGCCTCCCTGTTGACCATCCGTTATTTTTGTAATGAAAAACACCTAAAATTGATTTCACTGTTGGCTGCTTTAGAGGGGTTTTATGTTTTTACCCCTGTACACATATGTTGGATTTCAGTGTCATTTTAAACAACCTCTTTAGAGTACATGAAACTTACAGTCCTCTTAGGAAATGATTACAAAAGAAATGAGTCCCCCCACCCAGCACCTTATTTCTAGAGTCTTCCCTCCCCAAACAAGCTCTAGAAGATCAATGATGATCCTTTGGGTCGATTTGAGGTTGATTAAAATTTCAGAGAGACCTTTTATTAATTAAACATATTCACATACGTACCAGAGAATTTTTGCTCAATTTTTTTATTTTTTTAAGATTTTATTTATTTATTTGACAGAGAGAGACACAGCGAGAGGGGGAATACAAGTAGGGGGAGTGGGAGAGGGAGAAGCAGGCTTCCCACTGAGCAGGGAGCCCGATGCAGGGCTTGATCCCAGGATCCTGGGATTATGCCCTGAGCCGAAGGCAGATGCTTAACGACTGAGCCACCCAGGTGCCCCAATTTTTGCTCAATTTTAAAGTGGAATAGAATCGGGTACAAAATTTGTGATGGAAATACAGTCGACCCCGACTTTCTGCTGATAGTTGGCAGTTTGGCTTTCCCGGCAAATGCCCTTTCAAGAGAAGTAACATTTGCTCTGTTCCCTTCCACGGATGTTGTGCTGTCTCTTGCCATCCTCCGAGCACCTGACTCTCGTGGATCATTTTGTGGCCCAAGCACTTAACCACCATTTTCACCTAACTGAAGAGTTTGGAGAGGACTGCGCTTATCACTCCTGGACGAAAGGCTCAGTTTCTTACATAAATTGGATTTGAAGTAGGAGCTCAGAAGTAGTATTCGCTGAAGAGCTGCTTACGCTCTACTGAGTTAAGACTCCAAGTCCTGTTTCATTATTTCATTTGAAGAAAAGGACTGGCAGTGGCTAGAGCTACATTAAGATGTGATGTGACCTCGTTGTTTTTCTGCTGGGTGAGCCCAGGTGGAGATGTGTTCTCAGGTTAGTGAAGCCCACCCAGTTGTAACTATGGCTCCCTGGGGTGGGGTGGGGTGGGGGCGGGGCTGGACTCTCCCCAGATTGGGGACCTCTTGGAGGGGAGCCAAGAAGACCCTTCTGCTGTGTGGTGTACCATGCTAGGGGAAGATTCACTTCTATTCCTGACATAAATTAGACCGAAGAGAGGAATTTGGTTTATTGTTTAGTGCTGAAGTTAAAAACCATTTCTTTCCCATGTGGTCTCTTAATTAGATTCATTAGTTTCAAAATGTTAATTGGAATTACTGCAGTTCAGCTCCTGAAAGGTTTTAAATTTAAAAGGAACACCTCATTTACCGTACTACTGTGTTCTGAGAACTCTACGGTAATATTTGCATCGCATTTTTTAATTCAAATAATGGATTATTAATTGTAAAGCTTTTTAGACTAATAAAACCAAGTATCTACCTTTTTAAAAGATTTTCACTTATTAGAGAGAGAGAGCGAGCGTGTGGGCCTGCGGGTGGGGGCGGGTTGGGAGGCAGAGGCCGAGGGAGAGGGACAAGGAGACTCCGCACTGAGCCTAATGAGGGGCTCCATCCCAGGACTCTGAGATCATGACCCTGAGCCGAAATCAAGAGTTGGATGCTCAACTGACTGAACACCCCCCCCAACGCCCCCTGAGTATCTACTTTAATTTCTGTTTCTTTCCAGTTTCCTGATAAGCATTTTGTAGGATGTTTCTATAAGATAATTTGGATGCAAAAAAATTTCAGCTCCTATATTCAGTGTTTTATTTATGACAGAGTCCTAATACCTCAATACGAAGCAAACGCTGTAATTGAAACAGATGATTAGAGTAACATATGGGACATTTTCTACCTGTGTAAACTCAAAGCTTTATTCTAAAAAGTCTCCTGCAGCTTTCCTTCCCAGAGTAAAGTGGGTGGTTAGGCCCGAACTAGTCAGAATAGCAGATGTTTATGCCAATATTAATTCTGGAGAAATCTTTCGGGGTTAAGAGAACAGTTCTTTAAAAGAAAAATTTGTTTTGTCATTACAGTGTTAAGATAGTAGCAATTTCAAATAACACAGAAAATAGAGATGCTTTCTGTTCTTGGAACTTTTGAAACCATTTCTTCTCATGGACAGATCAGGAAAATAAGCTTGTTAGCCTTCTTGTAACTTAAAAAAAAAAAAAAAAGATTCTTTAGATTTTGCCTAGGAAAAGTGACTGTAATTTTGTTAGCGAATTCTCAAAAGTCAGGTGGGGTTTGTGTGTGCATGTGGGTGTTTATCTACCCTATTCCCTCCCGCTTCTACGGGGATAATTTTAAAAGCTCAAGGTCCTTAGTCACACATACGGAAACAATGCTGTAAGGGGGTATTTAGAGAAGTTTAATTTTAACCAGGTACCTTAACTGTAAACAGACAGAATGACATCACTTAAGGAACACCGCACTTCAGTGAATAGAGGCTTTGTCATTATTTTTCTAGACCAGAGCACTGAAAGGGAACATTAATTGTTAATAAGGTTCAGGAATTCAGCTGTTCACCGATCCGTGTGTCCTGCCTGTGTCTGCATCGGACTGAGTCCCGGGGCTCCTTGTGTCCTGGGCACCTGCCTTCTCAGTGGGACAGCCTTTCCTTTGCACACCTGGAAGACGGTGCCCACCATCTGCTCGTGGAGTCCCACTCCAGGTGGGTGGCTGCCTGGCGATGCGCAGCCTTCCACACACCCGGCCCACCAGGTTCGGCCCACTTCGGTTCCCGCACGTGATTTCTTTAACTGTTCTTTCAGAAAGTCACAGGGGACCCCTGCATGGCCAGGTCACTTACATGGGCAGCCCGCTGCTCAGGGTGACGGGTGTGGGCTGTCCCTACCCACAGCCCTGCGGCGTAGAGCGTACTGGGAGGACGGATGGCCACCCAGAGCAGTTTGAACGAATGAGGGGTGACGGCAGAGAAGAGCATCCAACAGGAGAGAAGTGTGGGGTTCTGTGGGAATCAAAAGCTGCAGAGAGACCTTCAGTGGGGGAGGTTAGGAGGTTGGAGCAAAGGTAAGATTATTATACCTGCTCCCCCAGCTTGACAGGGTTGAAGGTAGTTACCTAATGACCCAAGTCCTCACCACCTTTGTTGGACTGTTTTCTCCCAAGTAGGATGGCCATGCCCTACCCCAACCCTAGACATAGCCATTTTAATGGGAGAAACGTGTCGGGTACACATCTATTTCTAGCTTGGGTGAAGCATAGATGGTATACCTAGAACTATAACCAGTTCTGTGTGTTTGGAACCTTCTTTGAGTTTTGAGCTCTTTATACTGTCTTTGGGTGGAAGGAGATTCCATAGTGGATGCAAGAAGGATGGATGACACGATATCTGCATAGCTCACGGCATGAGCGGCTTTTCTTAAGACAGGTGGCTCAGGCAAGGAAAAATTTCTTATGGCCATAGAAGTATTAGGCTGTTCCATTATAAGATGGAATGATGTCAAGAAATACCTGGCGTATTTTTTTAAATTATCACAAAATATTCAGAAACATTTTTAGGTTTAGGTATTAATTTGTTCAAGTTAGCGATGTGCTGAGTCATTATGACCTGTTGAACTACAGCTGATCTTCTGGTATTTGCAAATTCACGTACTCCCTCACATGTATTTGTTACCATCCCCATACCAGTCCTTGCGTTGCTTCCGAGGCCATTCACAGACCTGCACAGAGCAGCGGTGAGAACTTTGAGTCCCCCACTGTGTGTGTTCCCAGAGGAGGCTGAATGAGGTGCTCAGCCTTCTGGTTTCAGCTGTCATTGTCAACAGCTGTCCTCATGGTCTGTGTAGAGTCACCTTTTCCACGTTTCTGTGCTTTTTACTGGTGATTTCAAGGTTTCAGATGGCCCCCAGGTGTAGATTTGGAGTATTCTCTGGTGTTCCCAGGCACAAGAACACTGGGAGGTGCCTTAGAAAATAGGTGTGCACGTGAGCTTCGTTCAGGCATGATTACAGTGCTGTTGGCCGTGAGGTCCGTGTTAATGAATCAACAATAGATGTGGAATAAGGTGTCTTTGAACAGAAACACATTGAACAAGGTTACACATTGATGGGTTGATAGGCTGATGAAAACGCTGTGACCAGAAGCTTGTAGGAACCTAACCCTGTTTTTCTCCTAGGAGCAGTGGTTAAGTATTTGCTAAATAAGCAGCAAGTTTACAGAACAGACTGTAGCAAAGAATGAGCATCAACTGTAATTTGGTTGGAGGAACATCCAGGTTCAGCTATTATGTTTTTTGTGTTGCCGTGTTTCATAAAACCTCTAATAAGCAGAGAAATAGGAATTTCCAGGTAAGTTTCACACAAATGATACAGATCAGGTGATGTGTGGATGGATATTTATGGGACAGCTTCGCCTTTGGAAGTAGGTGAGCATATATGTTCCTTTTTAATCTTTCAGGTCTTTTGGGGAAAATGATCTCTTTGATGGTGTGGTACTTCTTTTACTTGACATGGTAAGAACTTAAACATTTGTAATACAAAGCCCTTTTTACAAGGGCCAGTCTCTGACCCCTTCATTTTTGCTCAAGGAGTGTAGCATTAAAAATAACTTTCAGTTGAGTGCATCTTTTTCCTTATGGTGACAGTGATACTTTAGTAGAAGAAATCTTACGGTCCCCCCCCCCCCCCCACACACATTTTCCATCCAAATTATGGTCCTTTGACGACGCATGAATTCTTTGGCTATGGAAATGATTGATGCCACATAGGGCCGCATCTTGCGGGGGGCGGGGGCAGAAAAGGAACCAGATGAGTGTGAAGGAAAGATCACAGGGGCCTTGTGTTTATACCTGTCTTTGAACATTATAGAAGAAAAAAGACCAAAGGAAAACCTGAAGCAATACTGTTTCTTAGTGATGGTTTCCAGTGGTGGTTTTTAAAAAAAAAGGAAATTCCAGTGGGAAATGAACGCTCTGGTTACCCACCTCTATCCTTTCAGTTTACGTATGTGATGTTTGACAGCTCCTTGCCCAGATGTCTTTTGGAAGTCTTCAAAATTAAGCAGGGTTTAGGCTGTTGACCTTTTTGAAAACCTAATTTTTGTTTATAAGTTTTCAAGCTCTTGAGCCTCCAGTATGGAGATGCGTTTGAGAAAAGAGTATGTGACTTGTATATATTAAATAATACATTAGCGTAAATTCATCTATGAGATTTACCAATGATTCACAAACACCCAAAATGGGGGCTGTCAGTTGACTTAATTGGAAGAACTTTGGTACTTTGAAAAGAAGGCTTAAAACAAAAACTAAAATATTGTTCTTTAAAATGTTCCCTCCAATCACATCAAAACTCCTACGCTAAAATCTGAAACCATATATGTTTTGAATGCTTTAGATTCTAAAGAAATATTTTATAATGCCAGTCTTTTGGGTTTGTACATGATGTTTCTTACGTAATCTGTTAAAACTTTAGATTGCAAAATATGGCATATTTGCAAAAGAGGCTATAAAATGTAGTAAGTATAGTTTAATGAATAAGAACACGAACATGCAAGTTCAAAAACATAACATACCCTATATGGGCCCCTTCCTCATTGCTCACCTTCCCTCCCCACAGAAGTAATCACGGCCTGAATTTTGTGTTAATCATTCCCTCGTTTCTCTTTATAGTTTGGCATACGTGTGTGTAACTCTAAACAATAGCGTGTTTGGGCTCTAAGTAAAGTATTCAGTTCCTGTCTTTCCACTTAACTGGGAGGAGAGAATTTGTGTGAATTCTGGTCTTTGGTCTGCTCCTAGCCTCCAGCACAGTCCTGGGCACATAACAGGCATTTAATCCATGTTTATGGATTAAATGAATAAATATAAAAATGTTCTTATAAAGCAGTTTGTAATTTATGACTAAGGTGCATAAATGTGTATTTGAATAATCATAAAAGAAAGGTAGGTAATATCAAAATGTATTTTTGGAAAGTGAACTTGGATGACTTTTAAAACTTTATCTCTTTTTCAAAATGAGCAAAGTGAGTCTCAAACAGATAAATGTTTTGCCCAGGGTCATTTAGCTAATGGTGGCCAAAGTGGGGCCAGGACCTCTCTTTCCTCCTTGTCCAAGATTTTGTCAGCGAGGCCACAGGACACTCGGAAGGTGGTTTTAATCAAGAGATGGAGATGGTTTTCTTCAGTTTGATGGAAAGCCCCTCCTGGGGAGTAGGGAGACAGACAACTACAGAGAGCCCTCAAATTCACACATTAGGGGCGCCTGGGTGGCTCAGTTGGTTAAGCGACTGCCTTTGGCTCAGGTCGTGATCCTGAAGTCCCAGGATCAAGTCCCGCATCGGGCTCCCTGCTCGGCAGGGAGTCTGCTTCTCCCTCTGACCCTCCTCCCTCTCATGCTCTCTGTCTCTCATTCTCTCTGTCTCAAATAAATAAATAAAATCTTAAAAAAAAAAATTCACACATTAGATGATTTGATCTGATAGGGTCCCTCATCAACCGAGAAAAGATACTAGATTGTGATAGCCAGATAGTTAATTGTATATATTTTTTAAATAATTTGATAGGATGTATAATAGAGTTCAGAGTGACTTTATTGTCAGATGAATGTTTTCAAAAATCATTTCCGGAACATCATTTTGTCATTTTGGTCTGTCCCAACTTCTTGATCATTTGGTGTGAGAATCACAAGGCTAAAAGAAAATTAGTCCATGTGGTTATCACTCCGTAACTGAAGACTTGGAATGTGGTCTTTACCCAGTTGATATCCAGATGCTCTTTAGTAGGCTCAATACAAGGTTTTATTACCTGAATTTTATTTATCCAGAGATGATGGCATTTTCCAAAGAGTGGGGTCTGGGTTTTGGTATTTGAAGATTTTCCCTACTTCCATCCCCCACTCCCCTGCCTCAGTACATGGGCACGCGTGTGTGCGTGTTCTCCCATTACTTTGACATGAACCCAAAGACAAGCCAACGGTGCCCTGCAAATGGGCAAGAGAGCTGTCACGTCAGGCCTTACCCCTCGATTATGACAGAATGTTCTGAACTTCTGTGTTCACAGGCTGCCCTCCGAAAATACAAGCCCATCTCTGTACTTAATACTTTGCAACACATTTGAAAACTTTTGTCTTTCATACCAAGCCTTCCAAAGGGCCTGAAACTTTGTGTAAGTTGCTATTTAAAGGAAGCATCTGGTGTTGGTCCTTAAAGTTCTTTTAGCCCGCCCAAATAGCCAAGTCCATGACTCAGGGAGCCTTCATGATAATTTATACTTCAGAGGAAAATACAACTGCCCCCGATTCTCAGTATTAGTTTTAGAACGCCTCCAAATTGTTTTGACACCAACATTTTCCAACTTGATTTTGGCAAGCGCAGACCCGAGATTTCGGAGTAGCTTTTATCAAAATAAAACCAGCTCCTTGGTTGTGAGTAGGGAGAACTCCAGAGGTTGGCACTGATGCTGTCCGTGCGGAGTGTCATGAATTAATAGCTGTATATTGATTTAGGCTGCAACAAAAGTGATTTTTCAAGCCAAGTTCGGCAAGGAAAAATGTGAAGTTTCTAATCTTTGATAGGGTGCTCAGGGAGATGAAAATAATATGAAGCATTAAAGAATATTGTGAAATGTTTATCGGCAGTAGCCCCGAGTTGAGCCCTTTGTCCTTGCCATTGTGGTGGTGGTGATGATGATGATGATGATGAAGAAGAAGAAGAAGGATGATGAGTGCGGAGGAGCTCTTGCCTGGATGCTGCTGCAGAATGCTTTTGGGATCGGTCTCAGGAAATGACCATAGCAACCCTCTGACTCAGATATTCCCATCTGGCTCAGCAACGATACGGCTTATTGGTGACGTCAAGATGATGATGCAAGGCAAAAACCAGGTTCAAATCCAGCTGCTGCCACTTTTTAACTGTGACCTGAGGTCTGCCATTTGTGAAATGAGGCTAACAGTGTCTTGCACGTGGCCGTGAGGCTTAAATGAGCTCGTGCATGTGGTAACGACATGCGGCTTTCGACGCGCTCAGTCTGCATACAGCTGCTGCTGGGGCCCAAGGTCACACCACAAGGACACGTTGAACTCGCTTCCCAACCCGCATGCGCGTTGCTCTTACCCTTTCCCCCCGTGACCGTCCTAGTCCGTTCAAAGCACGTTTCTGTGTAAACCGGGCCACATGGTGCCTTGGTTTGGGCTAACAGATCCAGTACTGGGTGGAGGCAGACTTTCTGGCGTTGGGCTCAGAACTCGTTGTGTGTGGGTGAGGGGACGCACGCACGTTTTGGAAGTGGGATTTGGAACAAACTGATCTGTGGTTTTGTCTCATTCTTCATAACCTCAAAATGGGGCTTATCAGATGGTTATGAACATCTTCGAAAATAACTTCCTCTATTGTCCACATGATCATCCAGTTGTTTGCGTTCTGAGACCATCTCAGCCTACCTCTTGTTCTGGGAAGCCTCTCGGGGTCTGGGCAAAGTGTTGATTTGAGGGGGCAGTTGGTAATGTGTGGGCATCCCGGAAAAGCCCTGGGCCCTCCTCCCCATCCCCAAACAGCTGTCTTGTCATGAAACACTAGCGTGTGCATCATTGGTGTTTGTATTGTTGTAGCATTTTCCGTTTGGAGAGCTGAGCCTTCCGACCTCGTTCCACTCTTAGCAACTTGCTTCTGAACAAACCGCTCACCTACAGGGGGTCTCCGTTCACAACAGTAGGTCATTTGAGTTGGCAGGAGTCCCTACAAAGTGACCTAGATCTTCCCTGTGAAGTTAGGCAATCCCGGGCACACAGTAGGTGCTCAGTAAACAGGAGGCATTCGGTCTCTGTGAGATGGACACGAAGCTATTGTAGGAATTCTGTCTGTTGCATCTGTATTGAATTTATTAGCGAGAAAGGTGTTTTTCTGCCTGTGTTGCTCTAAATGCAGAATGAGATTTAAGCCAGAGAAGCCTAATGCCTAATAGTTTAGCCCCGGTCAACTGTTTACACACTCAGCTTCAGCCTCAGCATAAATAGCCTTACCGTGAATTCACAAGAAATTGCTGAGAATTCAGGATCCTAGCTCACTGCTGGGATTAATTTCTTTTCAACAGACTGAGTGTCTAGAGAATATCCATAATGCTATAAATGAAAACATATGTTCATAGAACCCATGGCAGTGGGGAGATGGGAAAAGTAAGCACGCGATTTTCAGGAACCACTTCATGGGCAAGAGTGCTGGCTTTCTCAGATCTGTACCTCCTAAACAAATAATGCAATATATGTTAAGAAAAAAAAAAAAAGAAGAGTGCTGGCTTGGCTGCAGCTGGGGCTATGAAAAAGCTGGAATCAGTACAAAGTTTCTTTTATGGCATCCTATCCCTCTCTCTCTCCCTCCCTCTTTCCCTTCCTCCCTTCCTTCCTCCCTCCCTCCTTCCCTCCCTCCTTTTATGTAAATAAAAAATTTCGCATTGAAAAGCCAAGGAAGAAATTCTTATTTCTAGGAGAGATTTTTGAAGCGATGACTCTCTCTATGAATTTAGCTTCATTTGAGAAATGAGATTTTGGGTGTATGGGGGAAACGAGTGGCGAGGGCTCTTTTTAGACTCCTTTCGACCACCCTGAATAAGCTCAATTAATGGGCAAGACATAAAACGTAGGAAGATGTTGGTTTTGCAGTTTTTCTTGTAAATGCAAAATGTTTGCTTGTGTAATCACAAAATGCACTGATTTGCTGATAATGTAAAATATTATGAAGCCACTCTTTTTAATTGAATTTGCCTTCATGGGTTGGTTTTGAAAAATATTAGTAATGAGAGAGAAATCTGTATTTTGTTTGTTGTGTGTTATATAGTCCTTCTACATAGCAGATTGCTTTTGGAGTTACATCTTCAGCTTTTTTAATGGGGGAGAAAAAAAAAAAAAACTTCAGAAAATCCGTTTCCTCGCTTGTGACCATTCATGACCTTTGTAGATTTCTTGTAGCCCATGTCAGGCAGAGATCACGTGGAAAAGGTCTCTTACAACTTCCAAGAAAAGGAAGGGTCGGTAGTACAAGCATTTAGTGGGAATTGTGTCATTGTTTGAGTATCTTCTAGCCTCCGTCCCACCCCCCAAATCCAGAACAGTCTACTTGAATACAAGAAGCATCACTAAAACTTAAAACAACAGCCCTTCTGGTGGGCAATTTGGCAACTGGTCAAAAATCTTAAAAATGTGCTAGCTTTGACCCAGCCATTTCATTTCTAGGAAGCACTCTCACAGAGCTAATAAAAATAAAAGTCTATCGAACGATTTCATGAAAGTGATGATAAAACCGTAAGTTCACTTAAATGATCGTTTATTTGTACACAGAATTCTATGTAACTATTAAAATGTTGGTATTTTTATTGCAAATTAAATACATATGTTATACTGTATTTTAATGAATCAATATTTGGAATCTGAGGGAGGCTTTTTGGTATTATGTTATTCATTCTGAGTTTGAAACCAAGGGAGCTCTGCAAATTGTGTGCATGGTAGAGACAGAACAGAGAGTGGTGGTTGCCAGGAATTGGAGGGAGGGGGGATGGGGAGTTGGTGTTTATTGGGCGCACTGGTGCTCTTTTGCAGGATGAAAAAAAGTTACGGAGATGGTGATGATGGTTGCATAACAGTGAGAATGTGCTTAATCCCCCAAACTATACACTTAAAAATGGTAAATTGTATGTAATTCTACCACACATTTTTCAGAAAAGGAAATGTGATAATAAAAAGAATGATTTTAAAAAACGTATGGGTGGGCATCACTCACCAGGTTGAAAAGTTTCCTTCAGAAAGCAAAACTTTCGTTTTCAGTTGTAAACATTTTTATTTTATTTTTTTAATAAATTTATTTGTTAGAGCATGAGAGAGTGAGTGTGTGTGAGCGTGGGTGAAGGGCAGAGACAGAGAGGGAGAATCTCAGGCAAACTCTGCACTGAGCATGGAGACTGATGTGGGGCTTAATCTCACAACCCATGAGATCATGACCGGAGCTGAGTCCAGCACTTAACAGACTGAGCCACCCAGGTGCCCTGTTGTAAACATTTTTAGTGTGTATCACTTGAAAGCTCCATATTTTTTTCAACGCCCTCATTCTCCCATTATCAACTGAAAATATGTATCAAAAATTTCTTAACATCATTGAATGCAAAGGAAAGCCTTTTGATTAGAAAAGACAATATTTGTTCTTAACTTCCTCAAGCTTTTTTGGAGATAGAATCATCTGCGTATTTGGATCGGCCCCAGCCTTGACTGTGTCAGTAATCTGATATGATAGAAATGTGTTCTGGAAGCTTTTGGATGTGGTAGGATTTTCCGAAGGGCGAGGGGGAGAGTGTGATGGGGTTTGTTAATTTTTCTTCTCGGCATAGTCTAATCAGTGTCAAATTAAAAATACATATTTTCCGGAGCGCCTGGGTGGCTCGGTCGTTAGGCGTCTGCCTTCGGCTCAGGTCATGATCCCAGGGTCCTGGGATCGAGCCCCGCATCGGGCTCCCCGCTCAGCGGGAAGCCTGCTTCTCCCTCTCCCGCTCCCCCTGCTTGTGTTCCTGCTCTCGCTATCTCTCTCTCTGTCAAATAAATAAATAAAATTTTTAAAAGAAATACATATTTTCCTTCTCATCTTGGATTTTCATTACCTTCTCCTCCTCTCCTGCCTTCTTGTTCTTTATGTATCTGTTCAAATCCTTCTTTAAGAACTCCAGGGATGCCTTGGGTGAGCATCTGACTCTTGATTTTGGCCCAGCTCATGATCTCGGGGTTGTGACATCAGGCCTCACATTGGGCTCCACGCCCAGCATGGAGCCTGTTTAAAATTCTCTCTCTCCTTCTGCTCCTCTCCCCGCAGAATTAAAAAAAAAAACCCCAAACTGCAATTGGCATGTGGCTTGGAAGATATCCAAGCTAAAACGTTCGCTCTATCAGAATCTGATGTTTTATTCAATATTCACCTAATTATTAGGACTTGATGAGCTCAGGCTGTGAAACCGTCTGGTCTTTCTACGCTTTTGCCTTTTAAAAACTCTGGTAATAGTTTAGAAGATCATCAACCGGTATGGTTTTGCATCGGGATGGGTCAATACATCTTGATAATGCATTAGACCCCTGAGCATCATGCTTACTAATTTGTGGCCTGAATCCGGTATCATTCAATGTGAGAAGGTAAAGCTTCCAAGAGTGCAGGTTTAAGGGGAAAAACCTGAGTGTTGGCAACGAAGAAAGCCAAAGACCATCACCAAGCTGTCTGCCAAGCCTCTCACTCCACCGGCATCTCCTATCTTGCCCTCAGGATGAAGTGGCAATTTCTAGATAAGCAGCCCAGGAGTATTGCCACCTAGTAGGATTATTCATGTGTATTTATGTGATTTTATTTGGGAATTAATTCAGGAATTAAAATGTTCATTTCCGGGTTTTTGTTTGTTTGCTTTTGGTAATAGTACACCTCTGCTAGTCTATAATTAGTCTTAGAATGTGTTCTGTGAGGAGCATCCCTGCAGCCTGTTTTGGTACCCACCTGCCCCCCAGTGTTGGGCCCCCCTAGTTTAGGAGGAATTGGAGGTTTGTGTCCCCAAGGTTTACTGGCTTCTGGAAGCTCAGACAGACCTTGTCACCAAGTTTCACAGTGTTTGATTATAAATATGGCAGCATTTAAAATTCATATTCCAAGATGGTTTCTTGAAAACTTGATCTCTTATACACTTTAAAGAAAAGAGGAAGAAGTTCTTGGTGTAAGTCTTGGCTTAAGCTTCAGACCAAAGATTTTGGTTGGATGGAGGGGGGAGGGGTCTGGGAAATAATCCAAGGGCCAAAGAAATGGGACGTTTAAAAAATACCTGGAAAGGTTGTGTGTGTGTTGGGAGGAGCTGTGTGACTTTGGGCCAGTTACCTTTGAACTTCATTTCGAATGTTCATAAAACGGGGGAATTGGAATAATCCTTCAGGCTCTTTCTGGCTTTTAACCCTCTGGACTGTGTTAGTAAACTCCTGCATGTGCTGATGGGCAGTCTGTTCCAAGGAAAAGTTTAGAAGAACTAGTCTTTACATGGGGGAAATGCGGTTAAAAAAACAACACTCAGCAAGCTTCATAATACAATTTTTACTTGATGATCCTCTTACCTTCTGAGTGCCTTATTGTCTGCTCAAGGGAGGGGGCACTTTACTTTTATTAAAACTGTTATTAATAAAACTTCCTCCAGGCTCCAGGTCTCTTCTGCCCCTGAGGATTTTTGTGCTTCTAATGTTAGTTGACTGAATAAATTATTTGTGACTTTGGACGCTAGCTGACCCCAGGGGTTCTGGACACGAGGGAAAAGTATGTTTGGTCACTCATTACTCATCTAAAATGTATAAAGCTGGTCTTTTTTTTTTTTAAGATTTTATTTATTTATTTGACACAGAGCCAAGCAAGCATAAGCAAGGGGGAGAGGCAGAGGGAGAGGGAAAAGCAGGTTCCCCACAGAGCAGGGAGCCCGAGGACTCTGGGATCATGACCCGAGCCGAAGGCAGACACTTAACCGAATGAGCCAGCCAGGCGCAAAGCTGGTCTTCTTTTTTAAAGCTACTCCTTTTTAATTATGTTGGAAGTCACCTTTTGCTGGTTGGTCGGTGAAACGCTGCTCTGTTTAAATGTTTCTTTGCCCTCCTTCAACTTATTTCATTAAAAAATACCAGGCTCAAGCCGTGTAGCCACCTGCATCCTTTCTGGGTTCAGCCACTCCCAGTATTCACTGCATCCCGGATAAACTCTGCAGACATTGGAAAGGTCAAGGTCATGGTACCCCAAGGTCTGGGACTCAGCCCAGCTCAATTCTGGGCCCGGGAAAGCAAAACAATGCCAGTAGACCTCAACCTCACCTACAAGTGCTTGTTTTCTTAACACTGCCTGGACTCCTTCCTTCTCCACCTGCCTTTTTAGGCCCTTATTCTCGAATGCCACTGCTTTAGCTCGAGTTGCTTTCTCTTGTTCTCCCAAGGCAGGGAGTTCTAACATGGAAACCGTGTTCTGATTTCAGTCCCCCTGACCTGCCAAGAAGCTGACCAGTATTTGAAATTGATTTCTTCTCCTGCTGCTTGCCAGGTTTACCCGGCCAAGCACAGTGTTAAATGAGGCCACAGACAGGATGCAAAGGGCCAGGCACCATCCCAGAGCCCTGCTGGCCGGAGAGCGTCAAGGCCCGCAATATTAATCAGTTCTACGCAGGCCACAGAGGAAGGCTCTGGAGGATCCATCGATTGGAGGCTTAGGTCTCCATGTAATTCCTGCACTGTTGTGGGGGCATTTTAGGAGGGCATCTGGGACACAAGGACAGATGGGTGTGGTGGTTTTCCAGGAGGACAGGATGAGATTCTGAGATTCCCACCTGAGGGGGGAGCGTGTGTGGTCGCCTACCTTTGTTTTATAGGGGAGGCCCCAGGGGAGAGAGGATGCTGCACCCAGGGTCCCATGGGGAAAGTGCTGGTCCTCACTGGGGTGTTTGCAGTGCTGGGGAGTTACAGTGAGCTGGCCCATCCTGGGATGGGGGTGGGGTGGGATTGCTGCCTTCCAGAAAGAAACCCTGCTGTCTGCAGTCAAATTGCTCTACCCCTGAGCTATGCCCCCAAGAAATCCTGCTGTGTCTGCCTGCTTTCATCTCGCATGGATGCAGCCTTTCCTTCCACACCCTCTTACTCACCATGTCCCTTCTCGGATGAGGCAACATTGCTCCCTCCCAGAGTGAAATCCACTTCCATAAATCTGCAGGACTCTGTGCTTCTGTGCTGGGGAGCTTTTTTGTTTTGAATGGGATGAGGACGGTGGAAAATTGTGTGTGGGAAGGAGTTTATGGTGTCATAGGAAGAACATATTTTGATGTTTGTTAAAAATACCTATATATATATATGAGAGTTTGTAATATGGATGCGGTCTTTTTGATACATAGCATGCTTGTGTGGGAGGTGGGGAAAAGAAGGAAAAAGAAGCGACACATGGGTGGATGGTTTCAGCAGCCCTCCTCTGTGCTGATTCTGCTTCCTATAGGTTGATACCCTGTTATTCTTCTTGCCAACTATTCCTCTTCCTCCAGGCTCCAAACGTGCTGATTTTAGAGACACTGAGGCAGCTGGAGGGCAGCTTATGATTGTGATTTCCCTCTGCGTGGGATGAGGTGATCAAGTGTTTTTTCCATTTAAGATCATGGAAATCGGAGCTCATTGAGGGGACTAGGACTAGCAAAGATCTCCAGTTAAAATGAAGAGATGGAATTAGAGATGTAATGGGAACTGGTCGTTCCAAGCATAGGTTCATGGAATTTGTGCATTTTGCATTGACTGGGGGTAGCCTGGTAGCATTAGCAGCATTGAGTTAATGTGTTAAAATGGCATTCTGATAGCTATTCACGTTGCACGTGAATTTTAGGTGGAATCTTTATTGGGACAAAGGAAAATACAGCCAATAATCTGTGAGACCCAAGTGAATTTTCCATAATCCTACAGTTACCGTTCACCTGGCTGAAGAGGAGGTAGTGGGTATTTTTGGAGAAGCCACGTATTACCATGGTGTAGTGTAGATTGTGACATTCCTAATGAGAGGTGTTAGCCAAGTGTCCCAGACACTGTAACCACTAACACAGTTTCATCTTCAACATTTTTTTGTTTGCAGTGTTCATATCTAGAGAGAATCTCTATCGCTCAGGAGGATAAATACAAGGATAGTTATTAACTGAATTGATCGTCAGGAGTAGAATTGCAAACAACTTAAAATATCCATAAACAGGTTGGATAAATAGAAGATGGTGTATTTAAACCAGTACTGTGCCAGAGTTAAATGAGTGAGCTGTGGTTCTATAAATCAAAACAGAACTCAAGAACATAATTTTGAATGATATGAGTAGGGTTTAATTTATACTTAAAAATCATACCTACAAAGAGCTCTCTGTATTTTCGTAGGGGGGTGTGCATGTGTGTATAGAAAAATATATTGGAAAGACACACAAATAGGAAGATAGAATGGGAACAATTTTATTTGAGGTTTTATTTCTACTTATTTAAAAAAAAAACCTGAGCCAAATGTGACAAACATTGTCATTTCTGGCTGGTGGATATATGGTTACTCTTTTATCTGACTCTGTTTTAAAAGCTGTTCTCAGAAAGTTTTCAAAAAATCTATGGTGGTTCAAAAGTCATAAAATATTGAACAGTATAAGAGAAAAATCTTACGATCTCCTATAAAAGTATATAACCTTATGCGTTGTTGACTAGCGGTTGCTCTTTGAAGGAATTTCTTCTAAGGAATGGCTCAGTCTATGTGCAAAAATCTAGCCTCCGTGGTGTCCGGCCGTATGGGATTGAGTAAATCATGGCACATCCATCATTCAAAATATCCTTAAGCATTATGTGATATTTATCTTCGTAGAATTGATCTCCTGTTTATGACTCTGAACCTTTTATACTGTGACATTCTTCCAGGGGTTGTCATTTTCACATTTCTTTTTTAGGCCTTTCCCCTAACTTTTTTATTAGTTATCTCTACCTGGTTTGGAAATAAAGTGACTTCTGTTGTAAGCGTTGGCACATCCTTGATTCTAACTTTGACTTAGTCACAGATTCACTGGTGACCTTGGAGAAAACCCCTCCCTTCATCCTCCAGTGAGGTACCATTCATGGAGCCCTGGGCCCTGGAAGGGGAGGGCCAGTAGAGCATGAGGCAGGCTTTAGCCCAACTCCCGCAGAGCCCTCGGCCTGCCTGCCTCTGGTATGGTTTCCTAATCTATGAAATGAAACTTAAGAATACCTGCCTCATTGCCCACATGTGACTCAAGGAGCATCCATCTTTCCCTTAAGTTTTCCCTCCAGTGAAAGCGGTCTGTCTCTGGTCCCCCAAATACATTACCCAGTGTGCTAGGGCAGGACCTTTGTATATGCTGTTTTCTCCTTCTGGAATGCCTTCCGCATGCTCTCCCCTCTTCCCTACCCCCATCTTGAAAGCTATTCCCCCTCGAAACCTTGTTGAGACATCATTTCATTTGGGAAGTCCATGCCATCTCTAGATCTAAGATGTGATTGTTATTGAGCCTCGCAAAGAATATTGTTAGGACAGGTGACTCTTGACCAACGTAGGAGAAACTGTGGATTAACTTATATGTAGAGGCTTTTTTTTTTTTTAATACAGTACATATTAATGTATTTTCCTTATTGTCTTACCATTTTTTCTCTAGCTTACTTTACTGTAAGAATACAGTACATAATATAGCATAAAAAAGGTGTTAGCTATTGATGTTATCGGTAAGGCCTCCAGTCAACAGCAGGCTATTAGTAGTTGTTTGGGGGGAGTCAGAAGTCATATACAGATTTTCAGCTGTGTGGAGGTTGGTGCCCTTACTCCCCGTGTTGTTCATAGGTCAGCTGCACTTGCTTACATAGCCCCATCCCCGCCGGGCGTAGCTCATTGAAGCCAAGATGCTGGTCTTTGTTAACATTATAATCCTATGTGCCAAACACAGGCCCTGGTGCTTACCAAACGCTCAGAGTGTTTGTGGAAATGAACTGAATTGAAGGCACTTTGAAGAGTTTACCGGGCTCAGCCTATGAAAGGTGGTATCATTGAATGTGTCTGAATGTAGTGTTTTGAATCCCTGGGTGTGTCCAGGTGTTGGACAACAGAACGCAATCCTTCCGTGTTAGTGATGCTGGATGCAACATGGCGCACACGTTCCTCCTGGTGAAGATGTATCCCTATTCAGCTGTTTAGGTATGTAATGTTAGGGGGTTTTAATTGTGCAGCTCATGATGTGGCATTGTAAAGCTGATTATTTCTACCATATTTTCAACAACCTATGTATACTGGGCTTCTGTTCTGCTTGAGGCTCTGGATCCTGTGGGGGTGGGGTTGGTCTGATGGTGGAGGTAGATGATGTCAGTAACGCCCTGTGTGAGGCCAAACATCAGATGGTGCACTTCGACTAGTTGATACTTTCTGCGACAGCTTATAAAGCTCTGTGTCCTACCAGAATAACCCCTTGGTTCCCGAGAGTGATGGCAATCATTCTGTGTGACAGGAAAAATAAGCTAAAAACAACCAAATGACTTTTAAGTGCTTTTTTCCATTTTTTTTCCTAGCATGGCTGACTAATGAGGGGAAAATTGGTGTCAAGGGCATGAAATTAATAGATGCCATTTGCGCCAGCTCATTCCTTTATAGATAAGGAGAGAGACCTAGTGAGAACAAGTTACCGAGAGGTTACTACTTAAAATGGTTCTCCCGCTCACGTTAGCAGTGGTTTTTCACATTATTTGATTTTTCTGTTAAATCTATCTGAAAGGCAGAGAGAGAGAAGAGAGGGGAAGCATTCATCTTAGTGTCAAAGATCTGGGCTTAAATCCCGGTTCAGCCACTTACTAGCTGTGTGGTCTTGGGCAGGTTTGCTCCATGAGCCTCGTTGTCCTTCTCTGTAAAATGGGGATAACAATCCCAACTTTGTCCTTTGAAGGAAATGTAGATAAGGCACCAGGCCCAGCACACTGTCCACATGAAATTAATCACAGCTCCTATCAGTGAAGCTCGGTCATTAACACAGAGCTTACTCATTTGCTTGGTTGGTGGCGAAGTGAGGATTTTAGGTTAGTCATGAGTCACTCTTTGGAATGGCCACCTTTTGGAAAATTTTCTGAAGTCCCAGATTTCAAACCAGTTTCCAGAATTTCCAGATGTTCCATGTAGATTAATGAATAAAGCCACCCCACCCAGGATGCTCTTTATTAATAAAACCCATCGTTGAAAACTATAAAAGGATGGACTTAGAGGCACAGAGAAGGAGCTTATTTTATGTAGGCATTCAACACAGTAATATCATAGGAAGAAAAAAATGTTTTTGTGTAAACGGTGAATTTTAGCCACAGGCCGATTCTGCAACAAGGGGCCGCTATGTTTTCTTAAAGAATCCCTCGCGCTCTGACCTGATCCTTTGGTTTTTTTGTGGCCAAAGGTCAGGCTGAATCCAGTTGTCCTTGGGACTTGTCTTCCTGGGTCACAGTCTTTGAGAAAACTTGGCCTCTCTACCTCCATCTGGTTATTGGTGTGGACATAGGAAGTGTGAGTTTGGAAATGGAGCCCATGTTTCCTTTGATGGTGACAAAAATGCTTTCAGAGCCCAGCCTCGTGGCCCCCAGACTTTTTGGGTCAGATCTGTACTTGGCTTTTTCCTGAGCCCTCTGCTTCATCCAGCCCCTTCCCAGGCCAGGACGTTTCAATATGCATTCTCCTAAAGGGCTTTGCGGATGGCTGCTGAGGGCAGGTGGGGGTCCCGTCTTCAAATCCAGTTTTCCTCTGCAGGGGAGGATTCCGGTTCAGTAGACTCACAGCCCAAAGGGATGTGCCTCTCCTTTCGTCTGAGGGCCACAGAAATATGACAGGAATCCAAGCAATGTCTGTGCCCTCACACGGGACGGCGACTGCCTGCGTAACTGTGGCCTCGATGGAAACTGCCATCTAGTGATTTCTGATGGCAGGTTTCTAGTCATGTTGGGTTAACAAGCAATACATCTCACATCCTATTTCCGAATGAAACCGAGTGATTCTGTCAGGGACTGCAAATGATAGGTCACACACCCCAGCTTCGGCCCACCAGCCAGGAATGGTCTTACTTTTTTTTTTTTTAACTTAAAACAGTTTTTAATTATGGCAAAATACATAACCATTAAATGTCCCATGTTAACCTTTTTTAAGTATATAGCTCAGCAGTGTTGGTTAAATTCACATTGTGGGCCACCAATTGCCAGAACTTTTTCATCTTCTAAAGCCGAAACCATATTTCATTTGCCTTTTTAAACGGTTGAAAAAGTAAAAAGGGGGGGCGCCTGGGTGGCTCAGTTGGTTAAGCAACTGCCTTCAGCTCAGGTCATGATCCTGGAGTCCCGGGATCGAGTCCTGCATCAGGCTCCCTGCTCAGCAGGGAGTCTGCTTCTCCCTCTGGCCTTCCTCCCTCTCATGCTCTCTCTCTCTCATTCTCTCTCTCAAATAAATAAATAAAATCTTTAAAAAAAAAAGAAAAAGTAAAAAGGGGAATATTTCATGACATGTGACAATGACATGAAATTCACATTTCGGTGTCCATCAATAAAGCTTTATTGGAACACAGCCCAGCCTATTCGTTTATGGGTTGTCCATGGCAGCTTTCATGCTGCAACGGCAGAGCCGAGTGGTTACAATGAGACTATATGGACTGTGGACCATAAAATAGGCCCTATCTGGCTCTTTGTAGGACATGTTTGCTAACCACAAAGCAAGTCTAGTTGACTACATGTTCTGTTTATCCCTCCTTAGAACTGATTTAAGGGGCCCTGTATGTAGCATTATTGTGGATCTGTAGTATCTAATAAATTTTGCTGATATATTCGATTTAATATTAAAATGGTAACACATGTTGCCCTTACTTTGAATGAACCCCATAGAAATGAATCTTCTTCACTTGCAATTCTTTTTTTAAAAAAAATTTTGTTTATTTGAGGGGGTTGTGGGGAAGGGGCAGAGGGAGGGGGGAAGAGAATCTCAAGCCGACTCCCCGCTGAGCATGGAGATGTGGGGCTCAATCCCAGAACCCTGAGATCATGACCTGAGCTGAAATCAAGAGTCAGATGCTCGACTGAGCCCCCCCGCCCCCAACGTTCCTTCCCTTGTAATTCTTAATGATGATCTTTGCAGGTGAATGTTATGAGCTACTTTTTTACTCTCTTAATTATCTGGTGAAAAGGGACAGAAGTAGTTGGGTCATCCAAATGTAAACAATAAAATCCTAGTAGATTCTTTCAGCATAAGAGGAAAATAAGCTTGAATTGAAAAGCCCCCAGCACTCAGTTCAGATGTTGCGCTGGGCACCCCCTCAAGAAGATTCTAGTCATTCCTGTTTGTCAAGCCGAGTGCTGCCTGAGTGATCTTCACAGATTCCCTCCAGTGTGGAGCAGATGCTGCTCTCGGCTGTTGGTGGTTGAGGTTTGATAGGGATTTGTTTCGGAAATACAGGAAATACAGGAGAGTCAGGACTAAGACTCAAATCAAGAGTCCAAAGGCTCAGATAACAGGTATCCCCCTCCAGAGAGAATTCTGCTCTTGTAAAACTAAGATGAACGGAGACGTGCGTGTTTCACTCACAAATCCGTGAGGATCGCGCTCTTTCCTTCCCTGGAGACTCTGTTACTGTTGTCTTGATTTGGACAGTATGTGTCTGCGCCTCTTGGTTGTTATGGCTACTTAAGTTACTCTTCTTTCTTCCTCTTAGCCGTTTTTCTCCTCTTTGTTTCCGACTTTTGTGTGATTCAAATAAATCCCAGGTCTGTCCTTGTGCTTGGAGAGGTGGAGGTTGAAGCCCTTTCTGAGCTTAGTAAATTCATGGTCCTTTAGGGGCATTTGTGGCTCCTTCTATCGCGATGTGCTTACCCTTCTTCTTGTTAGAGACCCTGCTGTCTGCACGTGAGGGCTCTTCTTGTATTTGCTGAAACTATTTGTGAATACATAGGAAATCCAATTAAATTTTCTTATAAGAATTTAAAACATGCAGGAAACTAGACCCCTATATATCCACTCCTTGCATTCAGCAATGAACATTTGCCTTAGCTGCTTCATCTATCCATTTATCCATCTTATTTATTGTTGAATCTTTTATCTATTTTTAAAAGATTTTACTTAATCATTTTAGATCGAGATGGAGAGGGCGAGGGGCGGGGCGGAGGGAGAGAAAGAATCTCAAGCAGACTCCGCACTGAGCGCAGAGCCTGATGAGGGGCTTGATCCTACAACCCTGAGATCATGACCTGAGCCAAAACCAAGAGTCAGATGCTCAACTGACTGAGTTGCCCAGGCACCCCTCTTGAACCTTTTAAAGACAAATGACACCAGGATCTTTCACTCTTTTTAAAAATAAACTTTTAATTGAGGTATATAACATATATGCAAAAAACTATACAAAGGACAAGTGTACAGCTTCATGAATTTTCACAAAGCTTTCACTCTCAAATACTCTAGAATGCATCTCCAAAAAGTAAGGATATTCATGTAACCACTGTACCACGAAATCCAATTTGAATGTTAAATTCTTGGGACAGTGAGGTGATCAGGGGCAGGAATTTTGTCCTTCTCATGGGCCAACATGATGCTTCCAGTGACTGATTCTTTGCCTTGGTGCTGTTTGTTAAGGGAGTGGTCAGGAAGGAGAAAACTTAGTTAACAAATGTTTTTAACTTGGTTACTTGGAACATATTGACTGAGTTGAAGGTTTATTAAGAATCGGGTTTTAGGGGCGCCTGGGTGGCTCATTCGTTAGGCGTCTTTCAGCTCAGGTCATGGTCCCAGGGTCCTGGGATCGAGCTCCGCATCGGGCTCCCTGCTCAGCAGGAAGCCTGCTTCTCCCTCTCCCACTCCCCCTGCTTGTTGTTCCCTTTCTGGCTGTGGGTCTCTGTCAAATAAATAAATAAAATCATAAAAAAAAAAAAAAGAATCAGGTTTAGGTAAGAGTAAAAATTAGTGGTTTTTTAAGACTTAACCACCAAGCCAGACATATTGCATCTAGTAGAAAAGCTTTGGGAACAGGTAGGTTTGTAGGTAAACTTAAGAGTCAATTTTCAATAGCAGATTTCACATTTGACCACTAGGGAGATGTGTAATAAATCATCATAACCCTTTCCCATTTGGTCAGTGTCTATCACAGTTCTCTGTGGAAACTGAGCTGTTAATGTATCTTCAATAACACATGACTAGTAAATCTGGCAAAATGTGTTTTGTTCTTATTTTCAAAAGCTCTTGTGGGCTGTCCTAAATTCTTCATGTGGGCAGTACCAGGTTGTACATCTGGTTTTAAATATGTGTGTACATGGCTTTGTTGGGTCTTGGTTTTTAAACTCTTAGTGATTTATAAAGCCTCAGTATATTTTTCTTGGAAAAATCCATTTTGTTAAATGTTCACTCCTCTCCTAGATGTTGGGAAGTCTGTGGGATCTTGAGAGTTCCTTTGTGATTAACAGATGTAGAGATGTGAATGAGTTCACAGATACCAGCTTCATGATGGCCTGACTAAGCCTTCTGGGGAAACTTAAAATTCAACCGAGTAAATTTGAAGATGTAATTGGTTTTATTTAATCGATTCCTGAATCGGGCAGCATCCCATCTAGCACGTAGAGGGCATGCTCCAAGGAGTCACAAAATAGAAGGTTTTTACAGGAAGGAAGCTGGGTCAAGGAAGTTATTAGCAAAAGAAAAGGATTGTTCTAGGCATGATCACCTTGCCTTAGTGGGAAGGACAGGGGGAGTCTAATTACATGGGTTAACTCCTCTTCCTTTGGGGGACAGAGAGGGCCTGTGTGACAGATCACCTCATTGGTGCTGACCAGAAAATTCCAAATTGACTGGCTTAAAATTCTACTTATATTTTCAAACTGCAATTAAGTCTGGGTTTGCTGTCCTGGGGGCAAGTGACTCCACCCTGGGCCTATGGGTTTCTTTTCCACAAGAATGAGGAAGAAATGTGAATACTGTCATGGTCTGTATCTGTTATGTAGCCAACTTTCTTATTTGATGAGAGCAGTTTTCTTAGTCTGAGAATTGAGATGGCTGAGAAACTGAAACTGAGTGCATGTGTTAATTTTTCTTTTTCTTCTTTCCTTCCTTTTTTTTTTTTTTTTTAATTAGCAAATCACTCCTCTGAGGCAGTTGTGTGGTGATACTGTGGGGACCCGGTGAAGCGGTGGCCTGAGATCGGAAGGCCAATGTACGAATCTAGAAAGCTACTCTTCATATAATTATGACCCATAATTTCCCCCATGGTTTCACAGTGTTGTCCTCTGAATCAGAAATTGCGAAGTAGGAAGAGACAGATGGTGGTGGTTCGAGCTCTCTCTTTGTGAATGTTAGTATAGACTTGTGCTGGTTCACAGTGTCACAAGTCAGCATGGCAGCAAGGTTGAAACCAGCCTTCCTACAATTACTCAAGGAAGTGAAGGAACTTCTTTCATTCATCAGTATTTGAGAGTTGGCTGTGGTTTAGGCGCAGTAGGGGTTTTGGGGACACAACACTTGACAAAACAGACCTGAAATCTGTGTTCATGGAGCCCAGAATTCGGAAGAATGAAGACTTCTACACACAGTTAACACAGGTTTTGCACATATAGATGAGAGCAATGAGGGGAGCGTTTGGTGCCATTTGCTGAAGGCTTCCTTCCCACCTTGCTGCGCCTGCCGGGCTTAATGTTGGCAAGCCGGTCTCCCGGACTCACCGCACCTGGATGAGTCTAGATTGTCTGACGCCGGTGACGATATATTATTTTAAAAGTACCACAGATAGCACTCTTTGCACTCTAGTAAAAAGCCCAACAGTTGTAGAGAATAAACTAAAACATAGGAAAATTTCACTAGGGGACCAAGTCACGAAATGCATTCCCCTCAGTGTTTCCTCTCACTTCTATCTTGACCTTCCTTTGTGTTTGGGAGCCTAAGGGATCTTTAAGTCCTCAGCGGCCCCATATTAAAGTGCGAATACGTGGGAATAGGTTGCATTTTGCCAGCTATGTAACTGGTAGGGGCTGCTTGGAGTTTCGGGTCACAGGCACTGGGCTGGATTAGTGATGTCTGTTTAGTTGGAGTTGGGAGTTCAGGGTCACAGTTGCTGGGCTAGATTAGTGATGTCTGTAGGGTTGGAGTTTGAGTTCAGGGTCGCTGGACTAGTCATGTCTGTCTGCGGGGTTGGAGTTGGGGTTAAGGGTCACAGGCGCTGGGCTGGATGAGTGATGCCTGTCTATGGGGTTGGAGTTAAGGGTCACAGGCGCTGGGCTGGATTAGTGATGTCTGTGGAGTTGGAGTTTAGGGGCACAGGTGCTGGGCTGGATTAGTGATGTCTGTCTGTGGGGTTGGAGTTGGGAGTTTAGGGTCACAGGCGCTGGGCTGGATTAGTGTTGTCTGTGGAGTTGGAGTTTAGGGTCACAGGTGCTGGGCTGGATTAGTGATGTCTGTCTGGGGTTGGAGTTGGGAGTTTAGGGTCACAGGCGCTGGGCTGGATTAGTGATGTCTGTGGAGTTGGAGTTTAGGGTCACAGGTGCTGGGCTGGATTAGTGATGTCTGTCTGGGGTTGGAGTTGGGAGTTTAGGGTCACAGGCGCTGGGCTGGATTAGTGATGTCTGTCTGTGGGGTTGGAGTTGGGAGTTTAGGGTCACAGGCGCTGGGCTGGATTAGTGATGTCTGTGGAGTTGGAGTTTAGGGTCACAGGTGCTGGGCTGGATTAGTGGTGTCTGTCTGTGGGGTTGGAGTTGGAAGTTTAGGGTCACAGGCGCTGGGCTGGATTAGTGATGTCTGTGGAGTTGGAGTTTAGGGTCACAGGTGCTGGGCTGGATTAGTGATGTCTGTCTGTGGGGTTGGAGTTGGGAGTTTAGGGTCACAGGCGCTGGGCTGGATTAGTGATGTCTGTGGAGTTGGCGTTGGCGTTCAGGGTCGCTGGA